AGGTTCCACAGAAACCACCCCAAATGCCACAAACAAAGCTGAGTCAGAACACTGTGCAAGAGAGTAGAATCCCATTGCAACACCACAGAAACCAGATCAGCAGAACAAAATCACTTACACATAGTTGAGAGAAATGGATACCCACGAAACTTCATCCGGAGATCTCTACACATAAACAACACAAACACGCAAACACAATAGCAACACCACAGAAACCAGATCAGCAGAACAAAATCACTTACACATAGTTGAGAGAAATGGATACCCACGAAACTTCATCCGGAGATCTCTACACATAAACAACACAAACACGCAAACACAATAATTACAACAGGAACAATGATCAGAGGAATCACAATTCCCTATGTATAGAATGTTTCAGAGATGACAGCAACACTACTACACCAACATGACTTCACAGTAGCCCACAAACCAGCCTCAACTCTCAGACGGACCCTGTCAAAACCTAAGGAGCAGACAGAAACAAACCAAAGATCTGACATCATATACCAAATCCAATGCAGCAACTGTGTAAAGAACTACATGGGCCAAACAGGAAAAAAACTATCTACCAGACTGCATGAACACTTCCTTGGTATCAAAAGACACGACCCACTATCCCTCATGTCCATCCACAAAGACTCAGAAGGACACAAGTTTGATCTAACCGAGACCACAGTTGTAACCCAAGCAAAATCAAGGGGAAAAAGAGAATTCCTCAAAGCCTGGTTCACCACCAATAAGTCAATAAACACACTGACATTGAGCCTATCTACCAACCGCTGAGAATGAAGGAACTACTTCAACCACAATTCCGAAGGCAGCATTTAAAATGAACAGGCACCTCACCACACAGCAAAAATCACAACCCCCACAAGAAATCAGACCACATCCCGACAACAGCCAACCAAACAAACAACCCGAAATCAGACCATGACTCAGAGGCAACCAAATGAACACACACAGACAATACTTACATACCAAAGACCATGGCTCAGCAACAACAACCAGCCAATCAAACAGCGCGAAACCAGACCATGACTCAGACACATCCGGACAAATAACACCCACACCAATTTAAAGGCCAGTGCTCTGAAAGACAAGCACAAATCAAAGCGCACTGAAGATGTCCCCCCCGAATGGAGACGAAATGTTTGCAGCCAAATCGCGGAGATCAAACCAACAGCCCAATCATTCACTATATCAAAATGTACGCAACACTTGCTTTACAAATTATTCAGAACCTATGCATGCACATAATAGTTGGATAAGATGCATAAATACAATACATCCATTTTTGTATACTTATATATGATTGATTTCTTAAGATTTATATCTCATTTTTCCTCCAGGAAGTAAAAGAGGTTGGCCCACATATTACCCTTCTTCCAGTTATTCTCAACAATAACCCCATGATATTATATGGAATGAAAAATAGTGATATTTTGAAAAACGGTTCAAGATGGAGTCAACCCCTACATGTTCTAAAGCTTTAAATACAGCCTCACTCATTCAATAATGTCCAATAAAGCTAAATGATTAAATTCATGTAAGTTAAAAATGCTTCATCAACGTGTAATTGTAGACTTGGGGAACTTAAAAATGGATTAGATAAAATCATGATGGATAAGGCAACAATTAGCCATTAACCAACATCTAGTGCTATAATCTATGTGTTAACTTCCAGATCAGAATGAATAAACTCCAAAATACAGATACTGGAGAACAGAAGGCAAAAGTTACTATTGCATTTAAGCTACTTTTAGTTTCCCCATGTCATTTATCTTTGGCATTTATTATGCATAGATTTCTAATTAGGAAATGCTTTTTCTGATATGAGCTTTTTCACAAATCAGATTTAGATCTGTTTCAAGAAAAATCAGACAAGGCAGAGCTATATATGTAGAGAGACTAAGAAAACAACCTGTATGATTTTGTTATACAGAATTCTACTCAGTTCCAACTGTAGCTTTAAAGCATGCCTCCAGTAGATGGGTAATAAATAGTCTGGCTTTGTATATGTTCTGTGTATCAATATTCTGCCCTAATTCTTTAAAAAAGATTAGATTAGAAAATAGACATGGGATATCTATATTATGTTTCTGAGATCACAAAGCTCAGCTAAACAAAGAGGAATTGATGTTAATGAAAAACTGTAAAACATTGCCAATCATTCTGGAGACAAATAAAAAATAGTAAGCTCACATTGATCATTTTAGTCTACTTTCAGCCTTAATAAACATTTCAAAGCTCCTTTTAATTCTTAAGAAACGAATTTGATAATTAGTGTAATTGGTGGCACAGCAGTTAGAATGCAGTATTGCAGGCTAACTCTGCCCACAGTATGGAGTTCAATTCTGATGGGCTCAAGGTTGACTCAGCCTTTCATCCTTCCAAGGTCTATAAAAGAAGGACCCAGATTGTTGTGGGCAATGTGCTGACTCTGTAAACCGCTGAGAGAGGGTTGTAAATGGAGTGGTATATAAGTCAAAATGATATTACTAGTGCTATAATTGTAAATACTTGCCAATCACACTAGATGTTGTCCCCCCTGGGCATCCAACAGTAGACAAACAGGGACCATTGTTCCCAGCACTTGAAACATAAATTACATTGTGTTTCCATACTGCTTCATTAATAACTTCACACATTCTCCTAGAAGAGATACAAGACATCACAAACTGAGAAAGGGCTTTTTCACTTACTTTTATTCTTTCTTCATTTATGACAGAGATAACCTTTATTGTATAGATTCCTACAAGCTGCATCTACTCATGCTATCACCACGTTTGTGGACTGCAATGTATTACCTTCCTCTTGGCACACAAAGCATCATAATCAGCAGTGTGGCATCAGAACACTGTACAAAATGAATAAAGCTTCCCATGAAAAAGTGGAAAGGGGAATAGAATTTGCTCATTTGATCTACCACAACAACACTCTCCTGCTATTCCCCATCAGAAATTTGTTCTGTTGAAATTCCCTACTGTGGTGTTGGCTCTCCACAGTCACTCCAACTGTATATGATTTCTAGGATGTAAACATAGAATGCTTCAGTAATTCGTGACACAACAGTTCTATTCTTGGTTAATTCATTATTTTAAATTAAATGAGCTTCCCACTGCTGGCAGAGAGCAAAGTAATACTCATAAATATATAATCTCCTTACCCAGCATTTGGCCAGTGAGTTGCCTCCCCATAACTGTAGTTGACAAGGTCACATTTATATTTTATTGTTTCTATCATCTGTCAAAGTAAAAAAAAAATGTTTAAGCTCAGCACTGCATAAACAATACCATTTATCTGTAGCTAATTGTTAATTTAATCAGAAGTAAAAAATGAAAATTTTAGAAATAGACCTCTTGCATTTTGTATTATGTTTACAAAAACACAGTTTAAAGCTCTACCCATCATAAAGGCCAACTGATATTAAACAAAGTGGATTTGAAAAAATAAAACTCAGTTCCTTCAAAATTCACTTCTAAAACATTTAATCTTGCAGATTGATGGTTATTCCTTAGTCTAGTTTCTATACATTTCATTCCAACAGCAACTCTTTCAACTTAGTTTTTCACATTATCTGTTTTTTTAATTGTGTTATTGCAGCTGCACTATTGACAGTTCATCCTAGCATTATGAAAATATATCATGGGAGCTTTGGAAATAATTGGCAACTCTTCAAGAAGCACTCCCTATCCAACGCTGCCATTTTAGATTAAACTAAACTATGATACCAGCCTTTCCTATGTAATTCTTTTATTTTATCAAAATTATTAAAGTATTATTTTATCTTATCTTATCTTATTCAATAGTGAGAAAAGTAAGGTTCTATGTTTAGGCAAGAAAAACCAAATGCACCCGTACAGAATAGGTGGTACCTGGCTCAATAGTGGTAACTGAGAGAGGGATCTTAAAGTCCTAGTAGACAATCACTTAAATATGAGCCAGCCAATGCAGTCCTAAGTTGCATTACCAAAGGAATACAATCAAGGTCATGTGAAGTGTTAGTACCACTTTATAATGACTTGGTAAGACCACATTTGGAATATTGCATCCAGTTTTGTTTGCCACGATATAAAAAAGATGTTGAGACTCTAGAAAGAGTGCAGAAGAGCAACAAAGATGATTAGGGGACTGAAGGCTAAAACATATGAAGAACTGGGTATGTCTAGTTTAATGAAAAGGACTAGAGGTGATCTGATAGCAGTGTTCCAATATTTGAGGGGCTGCCACAAAGAAGAGGGTGTCAATGTATTCTCCAAAGCACCTGAAGGCAGGACAAGAAGGAATGGAGGGAAACTAATCAAGGAGAGAACCAACTTAGAACTAAGGAGAAATTTCCTGACATTTAAAACAATTAATCAGTGGAAACGACTTGCATCCAGAAGCTGTGGGTGTTCCAATACTGGAGGTTTTTAAGAAGAGATTGGATAACTATTTGTTTGAAATATTATAGGGTTTCTTGCCTGAGCAAGGGGTTGGATTAGAAGACCTCCAAGCTCCCTTTCAACTTTGTTATTCTATTCTGTTATTCTTCATTTTTATTAAATAAAAATAATATGATTGCATGATTGCAGTCTAACTAGCAAAAGGAAGACAAAAGACAGTTATACCCACAGAATTTCCTACCAAATATGTATCTAACTCTCTTATCTCAGAGGCAAGATCCTGGAAGCTTCAGTCAGAAGGGCAAATCCTTCCTAACTGTCAAAATGGTATTGCTATGGCCTTGTCCTTTGAGGAACATGCAGAAGTTTCATATGATTAAGCATGTTTAAATAACAAATTTACCCTGATCATTTTGACTTGAGAAAATCTGGCATGCCAGGATGAACTACTTGGCCCTCCTATGTTTAACAACCATTCATTCTTTACTAACATAGCTACTATAGAAAGCTTGTTTCAGTTCACCGCTGTGTACATTTAGTGCCAACTTGGAAAGCATTCTAAGAAAGGCATTTTATTCATATCTCAAAAGAGACATAAAGGAAGCCCAAGAACATTTTAGAGTACTATTCCGGAAATATAAAGGCATGCTTTATGATTAGATTTTCTGTGCAACGATTTTGTCAATACTTACTGCTCTGATAAGACCAGTCCCGGTTTCCATAGTGCTTAACCTTGTATCACCAATCTTAATAGCAAGTATTTGTGCACCAGGGGCTATACCATTTCTATCTGGCTGTTCAGGAAAATACCCAGCAGCTATACTAGCAACATGTGTTCCGTGTGCACCTGAAAAAAATTGAATTCCCAATTAAGTGTATTGTTATGAAAAGAGATCCATAATTTGCCACATTTCATACCGGTCTGCACAATTTGCACTAATTGTGACTGATAGTTCTGTTGTGCAATACATTTTAACACAAAATTGGAGAAAGATTAAAGTAAAATGAGTATTCTATAATCTGCCATTTTATACTCAGGATCACTGCTCTTTTTTGCTGATGGGAGGTCTCCAAGATGGTAGTAAGTATGCATTAAAGGTGGTCATACACCCTTCCTCAGGAAATCATCACTAAACCCAGAAATCCTGGCTAATCATTGATTACTCTCCAATCCTCCCATTCCCTGAGGATACATTGATTATGCTTATGGACAACCTCTGAAGAGACTAGAACAGGTGAGTGTGACCCTCCTAATATTATTTGATTTCTGATGATATCCTTTTCCATTGCCTCCAAAGGTTGGGCTAGAGAGGTTGGAACTTTGAGTGTTGTGGGATGCCTTACAGCTTTCCATTCTCTCCCATATTTAATACCTCAACCAATATGGATCAAGTATCATCACAATTCAGTCAAGATTCAATTTTACATCTGAACCTCAGGCCAGAAAGTTGTTGCCAAAGTGTCATCCTGGTGCCTATTAGAATTTAGAAGTTCTGAATTGTAGCAATTCAAAGGCCATCCAATTCTAAGGAGATTTTCACCTACAGGTGTATTTAAAAATTAGTTAATCTTTTTGAATTTTCAATATTTCTACATAAATATGACCTATAATGTTATCTACTCTCCACAGAAGGCCTAGACCTAGAGAAAAAGTCCTGGATTAAACAAAAGTGTCAAAACATTATATTTGTTGATTTATTGAGGAAATTATTCAAAGCTACATAATGAAAGCCAAATGGGTTGCTGAATGCCCAGTTATAGGAAGACATGTCAATGATTTTACCAAAAAGGTGCCATGCTTTGAATTACCACATCAGCAATGGACAATCCTGAATAGGATTTGCACGTCACATGATTCCTACCGGGACTCTGTATAAATGGAGCATAGTATCCTCCCCTCAGTGTGACTGTGGGGGGTCCCATGTCAAACTGTAGATCACATCGTGATCATCTATAAGCTGAGGGCATATACTGGTCCAATATTTTATTTTTTTAATTTAAACAATGCTGCATTTTAATGGTTAGATGGTCTAGCTAGACATTACTATTTGAACATAGATCTTTTTGACATTTATATCTTATTGGGTTCTACTAATTTAGTTGAAACGTTAATTTATATTGCTTGTCCATGTATATACTATGCCATATGCTAAATAAATAAGTGTATGGCAAAAGTGTGTGAACTTCTAGGATCAATTCATTTGAAAGTGAAATTATAGTCAAGTATTTCAATCAGTAGGATGATAATGAGGTGAGAGTGTGGGAAGTTCTGTCTGTATTCACTATCTGATCTGCACAATACAGGTATGTGTCATGGCTCAAACAAAGGACATTACTAAGGGTCTCTGGAAGACAATTGTTTAGGCTCACCAGGATGGAAAAGCTTACACAACTTTTGGCAAAGAGTTAGGGCTCCACCAGTTCACTGTCAGGCAGAGTCTGTACAAATGGGAGGCAATGCAACATTACTGTTATTCTCCTCAGGAGAGGTGGATAAATTAAGATGACATCATGAGCAAGGCAAGACTTTGGGCGTCTCAAAGAACCTTTTTCATTGTGGGATAAACCTAATTTGAAAACTGATTATATTTTTGGAAGAAGGAGCACACAGCATACATTAGGGGGAAGGGGGCTAAAACATATGAACAACAGTTGCAGTAATTGAGCATGTCTAGTCTAGTGAAAAGAAGGACTAGAGACAACATGATAGCAGTGTTCCAATATTTGAGGGGCTGCTACAAAGAAGAAGGGGTCAATCTATTTTCCAAAGCACCAGAAGGCAAGACAAGAAGGAATGGTTGGAAACCAACCAAGGAGAGAAACAACCTAAAACTAAGGAGAAACTTCCTGACAGTGAGAACAATAAACCAGTGGAATGGCTTGCCTTCAGAGGTTGTGGGTTCTCCATCACTGGAGGCTTTTAAAAAGAGACTGGACAGTCACTTGTCTGGAATGGTATAGGGTCTCCTGCTTGAGCAGGGGGTTGGAGTAGAAAACCTCCAAGGTCCCTTCCAACTTTATAATTCTGTTAATTTAAACATTATACAGTAATTTAGTGAACATTCATCTACTAATCTGTAAATCTGGGTTACAAAGTCTTTCCAATCTTGAACCAACATGGTTTTACTCTTTATGTTTGAACTCTATCTATCAATGAAAAGACTGATCAATCAAAGTTTAATGTTGACTTTTTAAAAATGGATCATTTATTCTAAATAGGATAATACATTTTTGTACTTTTTTCTCTTTTTAGCTTTTTTCTTGTTTGTATTTCTCTTTAATCATCAGTTTCTTTTTAAAAATGTTTTCTTTATAAATGCTCATAATTATGTAATATATAAAACATTATATTACATTCTCTCATGCAAGATTTTATGCAACCCAAGCAATTTGTAATTAAACTAATGTTTTCAATCTTCTTACTTAATCTATGATTAAAACATTACTGTACTGAAAGTTCATAACTATGTTTTGCTATTATCAAATATGTATTTACTTTTAAAATTTAAGACAACAGTTTTCTTTCAGATTAAGACAAACTATATATTTAGTACATATATTTTAGAATGTTGTAGTCTTACCTCCACTTGTCACAATCGAAAGCAAATTGCCTTCATCATAAATATTGACAGAGTAATTTAACATTTCTGATGTTCCAAAAGATCCATATTCTTGACCTTCTCTGTAGTTCCGTAGAACAGTACAATTAGAAAGGTCACCAGTTTCATTGGAATCTAAGCAAGCTCTGTGGAAAAGATGCATAAAGACAGATTGATTCTCAGTTCTTCCCTCTTATGAAATTGTATGTTTCTCTCAAATGCTGTATGCCATTCAGTCACAATAGCAATTTTCGTATTTGTTTACTAATGTGATCCTGCTCACGATTTTAAGCCTCATGATCAGCTACACAGACTAAATTCAAAATTGATTTTAGCTGTGCAAATAAAAACTGCTACTTTAAAACACAAGTATACTCCCAATCTGTAACAATCCTCATACAATTACACTCAGATTTGAATTAGCAAATACACTAAATCAAATTTTAGATTTTATTTTTCCTCAATTGCTTTCAAGGTAGAATAATTTCACTGTGCATCTTTATTATTACTATCATTATTACTATGTACCAGGTCATTAGAACATTATCTAGACAGATATAATTTACTGACAACCTACAGCAGTAATAGAATATACTAATTTTAATGAGAGTATATAGTTCAGTGAGATTCTCAAAGTAAACAAAATCTATATGATGCCTATATTACCAGTTTATGATACCTACTGAATATGACATATTTAACCCAACCCAAAAGAAAAAACCTACTAGCCCACTCTGTAGTGAATGATTAAATTAATCCTAACCCTAGTCCTAATTCTATATGGATTCAGATAAGAATCAAGTATAGTGAATAATTAACAGAACCTTAGGCTTCATTGTACTTTATAAGTAAACCCTATTTCTATATTACAAAATAAAAAAGGCTTAATAATGTTTTAACTTTTTTGTGGAGTTCTAAAAAACAGGGCCATAAATGTAGAAAAAGTCTTTTTTAAGTAAGAGCATGCTTTGCTTACTTTTCTAAAAGATTTTTTTTTAATTGAGTTTTTGAAATCACTCCCCTGAATACAGGAAGAACAAACGTTTAAAACCATAGTTTTACTTTTTCTAAAAATTAAAACAAGTAATCTGGCAAATTTTAACCAGAAAAAATGAACACAAACAAACACACTTGCAAAATTTAACAACTGATAATACTATATGGAGGGTGCAGCAACCATTTCTGTGTCCTGTGGTAACTATCCAGAGGCACTATTATTATTATTACACAACAGAGTTGGAAGGGACTTCGGCGGTCTTCTAGTCCATCAGTAAAGGAAAAGTTACACCACACTTACTTTTCCTTTAACTCTTTTTTCACAGTTAAAGTCTAATTAAAAATGAATTGGTATTTTAATATAAAGAAAAAAAATTACCTCCAAGTTTCACCATCGTGCCACACCAAGCAGTCATAAACAGGGCCAGGATCATTATATTTTTTCTCAAAAGAGTTTAGCAATTCCACTTGACTCTGAAGCTCTTCCTTCATTAATTTGTTTTCCTGGAAAATAAAGCGTCTCATGAAAAAGTATGCTAAAATAGACACACACCCCCACAGAGAAAAAAGAAGACATGCTCCTCTCTCATTGCAATAAAAATTATAGCGTAGCGTTATACTGCACCCAGTAGCAGTTCATCCATTACTTATCTGCATCAATTGGAATGCTCATTTGAATCTTCATCCCTGTTGCCTGAAACCATCCGCTCATTAACAGCAAGTTTATAGCTTGCTGTTTTATAGCTACTGGACCCAGTTAAGATATATACGATATTTATTGCTATGCCACATACACTAAGTGCCTTATGCTTTTGCCTAAACTTGTCTTTTTTATGGTTATTAAGGAAATACAGAAACAGATATTTTATTTATTCAGATACAAGCAACTCATGTTTGAAGTATTTTTTTTTAATATTTTACTGTATATTACTTGCAGCTGCATTGCAATTGTTACCTTCATATTTCTTTCTTTCTCCTTTACAGAGCTTATAGGCTGCTCTAATCAATCAAATCTGAGTGGTACTGTATAAAACTCCCTAAATCCATTATCTGGATTAAAAACAGATTAATTAAGCTTAAAATTAATTGTTAACTTGTAAAACATTCATATAAAAATGGGTATTAACTTTCCAGACTAAAACAAAACTGACTTGTCATCTGGAAAGATAATCCCAGCATCCTTCGCCCCAAGGCTTGATGAAATAACTAATTTTTCACAGACTTTCTAAAGGCCAGAAGACAAATTAAGCAGTGATATATGATTTTGTCCTTTCTTCTCACCTACGTATTTTATTTTGGGTGATGTCACTTTTAATTACAACCCTGGGGGAAGGGACTGTCTTTTTTATTAATCTGCAAGTAATCCTAGAAGCTTTTTTTTCAATTGTGGAAAAAGATATAAATGCTTTGAATAATTTTTGAAAAAGTATTACCCTACAGCAGGGGTATCAAACTGCCGGCCCATGGGCCGAATGCATCATAGCGAAACCACGCCCATCCCATTGCCGGCAATGGCAAAAAAGTTGCGATATATTGCGACACGTCATGTGATGTTGCGAGTTTGACACCCCTGCCCTACAGGTATTGAAAGACCTTTGAATTTGAGCCTAGTTACAGCCTGACTTTAAGAGAATAAGTTCTGTAATTATAACTCTAGAGAAAACAATTAAACTTAAATATTTCATGTGCCTACAATCTTAAGCTATTAAAACTCCAAAGCAGAGCCATCTGGGTGCTCACTATACAATAAAAGGCAAGGCAATACAAGGCAATTCCAAATGTTCAATGGCATTGAGAAATTTAACCTGAATATCGTTTCAAACGAAAATATTATCAGCTCATTGTAATAAATAATTTTAAAGTGTAAGTAATTTAAGGAAAGGATTCATAACATGAAATCACCCTTCAGATTGTTTTAGACAAATTGCCATTTGTGATTATGTTACGCAGAAGTAATCTTCCACATGTGGGTCTTACTAGTACTTTGCAACTATTATAACCATTTAAGCTTTTTTCTTCTAAAATAGACACTAATATACAAACCTGTGATGGAGAAGTTTGAGCAGCTTCAAATTCTTCTTGTTTTCTACAGGCTTCTGCTAGTGCTAATCTGTGGACAGGATCCCAAAGTTTTTCCTTGCGTTCTTTCTGAAATAAACAAAAAATAACAGATTTTTTAAAAATATCAACACTCTGTGCTATTTTTTTACCACAATGAATTCAATATCTTATCTCAAATGTAAACTTTGAAATGGATCAATTGTCTTAATCTTGCTTTTTATATGCATTTTTCAATATTATAACACTTTATCAATACAGACAAATAGAAATAAACTCCCAGAATGCTTAAAATGCTGTTGCAAGGATAGTGCTAAAAAGAAGTTTCAGGGTTTTCTCTTAATTCAAAGGGAATAAGAGTAAACTCAAACATATCAAACAACAGTTATTAGTATAAGTACTCCTTGCTTAATGAACATTAGGTTCAGAAACCATTCAAAATTCTGAACACCTGGGCTGAACATCTGTGTCCAAAGTTATGGTTGTTGCAGTGCCCTCACGGTCATGTGATTGCGACCTGGATACTTGGAAACCCATTCGCCCCTACGACTGGTTGCCAAGTGCCCCATGATCATGTGATTATCATTTGAAATTTTCCTAGGCACTTTCCCCAGAAAGTGAATGGGAAGATCTCAAGTATTTCTGTCTGCCAACAAGATTCCTTCCCATCTCTGGGGCCTTGCTGAAAAAGGCCTGTCCTGAAATCCAAGCAGGATTTTGGCACGGACTGTTTGCAGCATCAGAAACGAGTCCCCTTCTTGTCTCTGGGACTCGCTGCAAAGGCCTCATGCTTCAAAAGCACTCCATACCCAAATCCTGCTTGGATTTCAGGACAGACCTTTTTCAGCCAGCCTGTGGAGGATTCTGGTCCCACGCAGGGCAGAGACCTTCTGGCAGGCAGCTCTTTGAGAGTGAAAGGGCTGCCCAGCTGAGCATTTCAGCCCCAGATGGGCAGAGTCCCTTCAGCGGGCGGCTGTTTTGCTCCATCTCTTTAACAAATTGGAAGATCACTTAATAACCACACCGAGAACAGTGGGATTGTGCTCATTGGACGAAACAGTCACATTGTATCTTCCTTAATGACTGCTTCATTCAATGACTAAAAATTCTGGTCTCGATTGTGGCTGTGAGTCAAGGGCTTCTTCTGATAATGAAAGGAAAAAAGATCATCAACTAGCTTTATAGTAATTTTACTTCAGAACACTTCTCACATGCTCTTGCTGATAATGCAAGGGGTCACAATATTATGTTTAAAATTCTCCTTGCAGTAGCTATGCAATATTGCATAATCAGCTGGTCAATGTGCACACATGAAAAGATGCTGATGGGAGGGAAATGTAAATTAGAATTATTTTATTCTTTTTTTATTCCTTTTGAAAGGACCAACTGAACTATGATTCTCTAAAGGAAGTGAAATACATCCTGAAGAACCCAGCCTCTCCAATATTAGCAAAAATTTGATGGAAAGCCACAGCCTTTTTTCCAGGTTCTATAACAGAAGTTGAAAATCACAGTTTACAAAATCTCATTTAAGAAAAAAAAAGGTAAAATGGTATTTTATAGCCTTGCTTACATGCTCCCTTCTATTTATTTACTAATTGTTTCTGTGTTGAAAATAACTGTAATGTTTAGTTATTGCTTAAATAAGAAACTATGGCTTCTATGAGAAATCTTGGGGATGGGAAAAAATAGTTTGCCAGAGGGTGAAGAATAATAAAGTATAACAGAATTAGAATAGCAACAGCACTTAGACTTATAGAATTAGAAAGTCACAATAACCTAAATGTGTTTCTTTCTTTTTTGTGGTTCAAAATTACTTCAGATACAATACAGGTTAGGATAAAGGGTATAAAATAATACCTGTATTCTCTCTTTAAGAGCTTTAGGATAGAAATCATAACCATTTTTTAAGCCAATGTGATATTTTCCTGAAGGATTTATCCAGTTAGTTGGTATCTAAAAAAAGGAAAGAAAAGAGAAACATAAATTGCATTTGCTTTGTACACTTCAAGCAATCATTGATATTATTTATAATAGAACTATTAACCTTAGCTACAGTTGATTTCTATGCATATATACTCACAAGTTAGCATCACTACATTCAACATTTGTTTGCTCACCCTTAGAAGGCATGCATAAATTGCAGAAATCCATAGCACTAAGTTTTCAGTCTACATACAAAGTGATACTTGAGTTGTTTTCCTCTTTCTGGTATGTTCTGCTTGTAAACAACTGCACTATTATGTAAGCTCTTCACATAAAAGCTCTACAATATCAAACCTATGTTTGACTGGATGAAAAAGAAAAAATGTAACTTATGTAAGATAAAAACTGCATTATGTATTATTTTTTTTGTACTTGCTTGGACTTACTAACAAAAAGTGCCTCTTGGAATGTAGCCTGTTCACAAGTACTCCTCCCCACCGTAACTCTCCCCCCTCCTGGGGTGCTTTGGGTGGGGCCTCGCCTGCCTCCACTCAGCCAAGGTGTTCCATCTGCCCCACACAACCATTGTTCTTGACAGGAGGCTCATAGTACACTGTAAAAGAATCCCATTCCCGTCTTTTCCCACCTTCAGGGATCTTTTAGGCTGGAGTTGCAGACAGGTTAGACACTATTGGCTAGAGTTTGTAACTACAAAGTCTGTAAATAGAGGACTGCATGCACTATATATGGCTCAAGCTGCAGATAACAGTCTTGGTGTACTATGTTGAGGAAAACTTTCAATTAAATTACAAATAAGTACTGTGAAATGCTTTTCTTTGAAAGGCCCTTTGGAAAACATGAGGGTGCAGCTTTCTGCAACTCTTTAAACTAATTTTTGTGAATTTTCAAGAAAAGATATATATTTTCTTAAAGGTCTTGCAGAGAGGTGCTATGAATGCACCCTCACAGGTTCCAAAGCACTTTGTTGTCCCCAGATCCAAAGCATTGCACAGCCTATTACAAATAAACATAAGGCTATAAAACATCAGATGACTGTAAATATATTACTATCAAACATATATTTAATATACAAATATTTGTGGTAATTTTTTTTAAAAAATCCTTTGCTCTTAGACATGATGACAAGTAAAAATAAATATGAATGCAACTATAGACTCAAGATAATTTATCATAACAAGTCATCAATGCATATACAGTTGAACAATAACTTTTTTGTTTCAAAAGAGGACATCACAATTTAATGCCAAATACTGTTACCTTTAAAATTCTTCCTGAAAGACCAGTAATTTCTCCATCTTTTGATTCTGTAACAGTTGAAGTATTTACATCCCCACTGCCAGTTGTATCAATTATGTCAACTATCTTGGGTTTTCCATCAGTTGTGATCTAAAAATAATAAATAAAAGCACATAAAATCCATGAATATTCTATTTTATAAAACAAATAAAACTGCTACATGAGTTGGAATCATGCTATCTATCTGTTATAGCAGACACAACCTAAATTTATTTGATTACATGTAGTTCAGCCTTTTCTAAAGGCAAGCTGATTCACAACATAAACAATATCCATAACGTTCAAATTAAAAGCACACATTAAAACAGCAAGATAAGCACATATTCAACAGAAGCAAAATCCACAATTCAGTGAGAATTACATTTAATTAGCCTGTGCTAATTATATGAAAAGTTTAAAAAGAGAGAGACTAAGAACAAACAGGGACATTCAGATCATACTAGTTGTAGTCATATGAGGTTCTTACTTAATGAACCACAGAATCCTTGCTTAATGACAGCAATCAGGATGGCCTGAATTGGTGTTGCTAAGCGATGCTGTCATGCGACATTGCACTTTACAACAATGTCACTTAGCAATAGCAATTTTGGTCCCAAATGCCATCATCACCTGAGGACTACCTGCATTTAATTTATTCCCATCCAAATCTTTCTGAAAAAGGTCTTTATTAATTCATAAACTGTTGTGAGATTATGAAACTCTCACAACAGAAAATCCCAAAATTTTGATACAACTATTAAGGCAATCCTCTCCAATCATGGCAATGTTAGCCATTTAAAACAAATTATACTTATGATGGCCATAATACATGCATATTAGACAGTTTGAAACGTAAACATAATAAAATATAATAAAAGATAAATAAGCATCCTATAAAGAGTGTGGGAGGAATAGGAATTCAATTACATAAAAGGAAGCAGATAAATTGGATACTGTCATAAAGAAGACAGTATGGAAAATCTACTGGAAGGATATGACAAAGCAGAGGCAGATCTTTATTGGCCAGGATAAAACAATGATGCAAAATTCATTTTAAAAGCAGCTTTAACATCAAAGCAAAATAGCAACTGTCTTAATTCAAAACTAAATAATATAATTGCTTGTATGTCAAACTTAATACAATCAATTATTTAATTTTTGTTTTTATTACAACAATCTGTATGCTGACTACCATTGGACTCTTAATCATACGTAACAAGAGGCAGACTAAGGCAAAAGCAGAGTTAACCAAACTCAGCCTTAAGTAATGGACTAGATTTAAAGTTTTAATTTTTAGAATGGCAACAATGAAGGTGAGGATTTTTTTGTGTGCCTTCAAGTTTGATACATGGACAACCTTGTTTAATTTTCTTGGTAATATTTTTAAGTGGGTTGTCATTGCCTTCTTCCTAGAGTTGAGACAGAGTGACTGGCACAAAGTCTGTAATAATCCAACTACTGTAATTTCCATGACTAAGGTACAACCAGAACCCAGATTTTCTAACTTCCAGTTATCATACTGCTGGATCTAACTCACCCTCAAAGAACTTTTACTTCCAATTTTTTCAACAAAATTTACATTGTGAATTCATTTGCATAATGATTGTACTTTCCAAAAGCATAACAAGTACATTATATTTTAAAATATTTCATTTTGGCTTTTATTTGTAAAATTGAAATTTAGGGCCTATATTCTGAACTAGGTTTAATTATAATTATATTTTTATATTCAGTGTTTCTTAAATTATATTCTAAGGTACATGTATAACAAAACAGTTACACTAGGTTTAATTATATTTTTATATTCAGTGTTTCTTAAATTATATTCTAGGGTACATGATTGTTCTCCAAGAAAGTTAAAGAGATTTCACAAGGTTTCCCAAAGACCCAAAAAAATGTGTTTTTCATCTTTACCAAACTTTCTGGACAATTATGAAAAAATATAAATGCACAAATTCCATTAATGAATATATGAACTATAAAATATTATCAACACACCAAGATAAGATATTCATATCTATATCTCGGATATCACACTAAAGAATTTTAAAAAAAATCAATGAAAGGAAATATGACTTTTTAAGTGGAAAAGGCTTTTTACTGAAAATAAAAGAAACCAATCTGAATCAAGTTGCTTCCTGTACTTAACAGAGGAAAAGGCTGCAACCTGACAACACAAGAATTTTAAAACTATAGCAGTTGTTTTAGAGATCTACTGCCCAAAAACCCTAACCTTGCTCCGCCCCCCGCCCGCTCCGCCCCAACCCTGCCCCGCCCGCAGGGCCACCCACCGCCTCCACGGCCCACCGATCTCCCAGGCACCTCAGCAGCGCCATGGCAGCCACGCTCTCTGCCTGCACACCACAGCATCAACTGCGTGCGATGGGGCACAAGGGCAGAGTCTTGTCACTGCTGCCCGGCTGCAATGTCCTTGGCTGCGCTGCTCCACGCAGGCCACGCTCGGGGCTCTCCTCCAGGGGGGTTGCTGGTGAGGAGGGGGCTGCGGGGGGAGGTGGGATTGGGGCGACGGCACACGTGTCCATAGAGAGGGCTCTGAGTGCCGCCTCTGGCACATGTGCCATAGGTTCACTACCCACTGAATAGCAAGGTAACATGTTCATAATTTATACTCCTTCAACTTTCTGCTAATTATGAATTGAAACATTCCCATACAATTAAATTCCAGTTATTTAATCACTGTTAAATATGTCAAACAGGGTAAACACAATTATAGTTACAGAATATTGCACAATCTGTGGCATGACAGAACTAGTTTGGGCTTTTTTCTCCTCCCACCATGAGGAGTTAATGACAGCACGTATGTAAAACATTTAATAATATACCTGACTCTGTTGTTTTTCCCCTAAAATTTGACATCCTTCAGTATTCACAATCCCATTTGCAACTTCAGGCAGTTTTTAAGAGGACCACATATATTTCTTAATTGTATTTTGTACAGATGAAGCAACTTCATTCAATAACACAGTATTTTATGTATAATGGAGAGTTTTAAAGAATTCAGTATAACTTATAACAATCACGCTAACTTATAAAGATGACTGCAACACTTGTAATGATACTTCAATTACAACCCCGTTTCTCTTTACTTAAATACAATGCATATAACATCCACTGCATTGGATACCAAGTTAGGAAACTCAAACCACAAACATTAAGGCTGAGCAAAGCATCTGAAAGTTTCAAAGCCCCTCTTTGAAACACTGAAGCAGCCTCAGTTTTTGCCAAAGGTTATACAGATGTTTATGTACAAAGGAAACTTCCACTGGAACTATTGGTGAAATATACAAGCCTTACAAAAATGTAACTACTTTAACATTTGAGAGACATGTGCAATTAGAGCTTCCCTTTCAAATCCTTTGTACAGTTTTACAAAACATACCTTTTAAAGTATAACTGAATTCTTATAATCTACTATATATTTAATTTAAAAATATTTTCATATTATTGGGTTTATAGGAAATACGTCTTATCCTTCGTGTCATCATTGGTCTTGGGTGGAAGACTACTAAGGAATCCTAAAATTACACAGTAAAGTAGGAAGTTTGAAAAAAAAAAACAACCTCAGAAGACGGTAACAAATTACCTCTAGTGCTGTCAAAAATTACATGGATGTATGTCTATAGAGATTGAGAGCTTCTTCAGTTCTAGCTGAATGATGGGGGAATGGAAGGATTTATATTCTTTGCATTTCATCTGGTCATTAGTACTCTGAGTTCCATTCAGTTAGAATTGAAGTTTCTTGGATGAGAAGTGAAAAGTTTTCAAGGGAAAAAAAGAAAGGAAGTCCAGTTGCCTTTTGGAAAAGCATCTTGGGACTACAGGTAGTCCTCAACTTACAACCACAATGGAGCCCCAAATTTCTGTTGCTAAGGGAGTCATTTGTTAAATGAGTTTTGTTCCATTTTATGACTTTTCTTATTATCACAGTTGTTAAGTGAATCACTGTAGTTGTTAATAACATGGTTGTTAATTGAACCTGGCTTGCTCATTGACTTTGCTTATCAGAAGGTCACAAAATGTCATCATATGATCCCAGGAAACTGCAACCATCATAAATATGAACCAGTTGCCAAGCATCCAAATTTTGATCATGTGACCATGGGGATGCTACAACAGTCATAACTGTGAGAAACGGTCATAAGTCACTTTTTTCAGTGCCATTCTAACTTTGAATGGTCACTAAACGAACTGTTATAAGTTGAGGACTACCTGTGCATGGATACACATTTAGTCATCTGACTTTAAGCTGCCTTGAGATTATTTTTACTTTACCTGCTTCAAAGCTACCATATACAGAGAATATAAGTTTGTTTGCCATCTTGCCTTCTGCTGCTTTAATTTCTTATGGGGGAATTTTAAAGAAGTCTTTAGGGTTAGATGCCATAAATAATAATAATAATAAAATAATCCTATCATTCTAAAGTTGCCTGAGCCAAAATCACAAGAAGTGAAAAAAAAGAAGGTATGAATTAGGTTGTGTCTCTCTTATCCCAATAAGCAGTTCCCTTTTGAATTAAAACTTTCTCCTTGAGCGTCTCCTACAGGAAGCAGTCCCTTAATCCCTTTCCCCAAGGGCGCCTGACACATTTTACACCAAGAAAGACACTCAGCTCTCCTTGTATCTTCTCCATGCCTTTTATCAAGCTTTTCCATGTGCTGAACTACAAAGCCTGATACTGGGCGGTTTGGCAACTGAAGAGCAACAGTCGGAGGAAATGCTGTGAAAAATAAATCTCTCTTACACTGTGTTCAATCCAAAGTATAAAGTACTGGTAGTCCTCGACTTACAACAGTTCACTTAGCGACCGTTTGAAGTTACAAGGGCACTGAAAAAGTGACTTATGACTGTTTTTTTACACTTATGACCGTTGCAACATCCCCATGGTCACATGATTTACATTCAGAGGCTTGACTCACTGACTCACATTTATGACGGTTGTAGTGTCCCGGGGTCATGCAATCACCTTTTTGTGACCTTCTGACAAGCAAAGTCAACGGGGAAGCTGGATTCATTTAACCAACTGTGTTATTAATTTAACAACGGCAGTGATTCACTGAACCAAATGCGTCAAGAACAATCGTAAAACGGGGCAAAACTCACTGAACCAATGTCTCACTTAGCAACATACATTTTGGGCTCAATGGAGGTCGTAAGTTGAGGACTACCTATAGCGGGAAGAAGAGAGACAAAGAGATGGGAAAAAAAAATACAGTTTAAGGCTAGGGAGGCCTCCATTGGCATCTCACCTGCATGCCCGGCGCGCCGGGATCCACACCCGTGTCTAAAATGGCCAAGAGAACTCCCCGTCCATCATACTCCGGGTACCGGGAAAGGAAGGAGGTAGCTCCGGTTTCCTTCTTGGGCAGAAGCCCTTGGAACGGGAACTGCTCGTCTCCAGCCGACGCCGCCATGTTGGAAACAGGGGAAAGGGAAGGAGAGGTGAAAGGAAACCAGACACGCACCCGACACGGAAAGACAGAAGGAGCCGCGCAGCCCGAGGTGACGTAACGGCTCTTAGAAAGAAACGCTCCCGAAGGAAGGAAAAGGGCGCAGGCTTCTTTTTCCCTCCGGACGCATGCGCCGCCGTTCCAGCCAATAGCAACAATAAGCACAGCCCGGTGGGTGTGCTACGTCAAGAGCGCGCTCAGCCTGCGAGGGAGATTTGATCGTGCCTGGCTGCTTAGCAAGACTGAACAATCTCTCAAATTACGTCGCGGCTCGCTCTTGCGTCGACCAATGAGAAAGGGAAAGGCTTTCTTAAAGGGGCCAGCAGTTTAATAATCCTTGGGCTAGCCCAGGGGTAGGCAACCTTGGCTCTTTTATGACTCGGGGACTTCAACTCCCAGAATTCCTGAGCCAGCGCAGCTGGCTCAGGAATTCTGGGAATTGAAGTCCCCGAGTCATAAAAGAGCCAAGGTTGCCTACCCCTGGGCTAGCCGCCTCTCTTCCCGCCTTTCCTGCTTTCGTGGCTTCCAGTAGACTCACAGCGCTCGGCTTCATCTTATTTCAAACAACGCGAGATCTTAATGCTGTTTGTTCGCTGGTGGGACGGGGATGGTGGTCGCTTTGATGGTTTAGAGAAGGACGTTGAATGCCCGGAGTGTGCACTGGAAAAGGACCGTGACCGCGGAGACCCAGCTGCAAGACGTGGACATTCACTGGGCGCCGCTGAGCTAGCCTTACGCTCCTTTTTATTCCAGCCTACCCACGACTTGGGGTAAAAATGAAGGAGCCCTTTCAGTTCTAGTAGAAAAAGTCGAATATACAGGGTAGTCCTCAACTTGCGACCACAATTGAGCCCAAAATTTAAGTGAGATATTTGTTGTGAGTTTTGCCCTGTTTTTCTTGCCACAGTCGTTAAGTGAATTACTGCAGTTGTTAAATTAGTGACACAGTTGTTAAGTGAATCCGGCTTCCCCATTGACTTTGCTTGTCAGAAGGTCACAAAAGGGGATCACATGACCCCGGGACACTGCAACCATCATAAATATGAACCAATTGCCAAGCATCGGAATTTTGATCAATTTTGCTGCAATGGTTGTAAGTGTGGAAAACAGTCGTAAGTCACTTTTTCTGTGCTGTTGTAATTTTGAATGGTCACTAAATGAACTTGTAAGTCAAGGATTACCTGTAAAATTAATGGCTCAATTATAAATTGGATAGCTTGTAATTTTGGCTATCTGGGCTTTACTAAGCAAAGTTAGTATGATACTGAAAAAATGCTTAGGCTGGATCCCATTACATTTGAATCGAGCTGGTCACATAGGCTGGTGAAATGTGAGGATCCTTTAAAATGGCACAAAATATGACCTGTTTTACAGATCCTAGTCAAGCAGGTGGCAGCTGATAAGAGTAACTATTTGAACACTCAGTGGACTAAAACTCCTCAAGATGAACCAGGTGACAGGATTCCTGTCAAAATACACCTGAGAAATATTCTGACCCTGGTAAAAAGTTCCTCATCGAGTATGAAGATAAGCAGCTCAAGTATAGACAAGGGCCAGGGTTCTGTTCTTTTTATAGTCTTGTCTTAAGAAAACATCTGCATCCTTAGCAGTTTTAATGCAGAGAGTTTTCAAATTGTCAGCATTACACATTCAGTGAGTAATCATCTAAAGAACCAATAATCAATAGTAGGCATTGATTAGTCTGTCGGACCACAGAAACAGAACTAGTTATCACCTTTAGCTCACAGCTCAAACCACTCAGATGCATAATTAAGCTATTGTACAGCCAATGACAATGCATTTTCTACGACATTGGAGTGAATGTGAGAGTAAACCCTTGGGTGCATGCAGCCACCCAACCTGAAGCAGATTCTCAAAAGCATCAATAAATAACAGGACAATGATGTCAGCATGAGAAACAAATCTGCAACCAACTCAAAATGTCTGGTTTGCTCCTACATTTACACCATTCTTCCTAAGCTTGCCTTGAGTTGTCTGCTTTACTTTTTGTTACCTGTTTCACTTTCCACACCTTTAGAGGATTCTGTTTCTGCATTCGTTTATGAATTCATTTTACCACTCATACAAAATACAATTTGCATATATTTTAGAATTCATATCTCTCAATAGATAACATTCTACTGAGCACTGTCCTCTAATATTTTTGTTATATATTTTGTTCATCTTTCAGTTGGACAGCTAATATTCTCTTGGAGTTAATCTCTTTTGGAGCCATTCAATTTGTTCATTTCTTTTTAAAACTCTTCATCTCTGTAATTCTTTTATTGGGGATTCTGCTCATTTCATTCATAAAATTGATCTTTGCACATTGGAAAAACAGATAAATTAGCTACATTTAATTAATATTCTTTGTATACTAGGGTACCATGATATAAAGCCCTGAAGTGATCATTTACATTTTGAAAGCATCAACATCTTCCTACTCTTTTTTCTTTTTTTCAATCATTAGTTGAAATAAATTATTTATTTATTGCCTATAATTTTACCTCCTCCCTGCATTTCATCTTAGGTAGAGTATAAAATAGAGTAAATACAATACCAATGGCAATACAATGGTAAAACAATAAAATAATACTATCCATACAATTGATAAAAATATTAAATGAAGATAGCTTGGTAAAATCAGAGCAGGCTCTCTAGAAAAACTCTGTCTTTAAAAGCTTTCAAATTTTGATCATGTGACTATGGAGATACTGCAGTGGTTATAAGTGTGAAAAACATTCATGAGTCACTTTTTTCCCCAGTGCTGTTGTAACTTCAAATAGTCACTGAGTGGTTGTAAGTCAAGGTCTACCTATATCTAAATGTTACTGGTAATATCGCAAGCAAGCATGCAGAGTAACTTGTTTAATCCATCCTGAGAATGGAAGAGATACGCCTTACAAGGTTTTATCACATGTAGGATGATTAATATAATTTATTCACATAGATAAATAAACATTTAGATCAGGGGTGTCAAACTATCATACCGAAGCCGCGCCCACCCCAATGCCGGCAATGCAAAAAGTCACGATATGTCATGACACGTCATGTGACGTGGCAAGTTTGACACCCGTGATTTACATGGTATAGGCCAGGGGTAGGCAACCTTGGCTCTTTTATGACTTCTGGGACTTCAACTCCCAGAATTCCTGAGCCAGCCATGCTGAGGGGAAAGGGAGAGGTTTTCAAGCTGAGCCATGCTGGCTCAGGAATTCTGGGAGTTGAAGTCCACGAGTCATAAAAGAGCCAAGGTTGCCTACCCCTGGTATAGGCCAATGATGGCGAACCTTTTAGAGACTGAGTGCCCAAACTGCAACCCAAAACCCACTTATGCATCGTCGAGTGCCGGGTGGGTGTGGCCCATTGGCTGGGTGTGGCCCATTGGCTGGGCGTGGCTGCAGTGGTAACAGCAGACTAGGTGGGACTAAAAAGTTCAATCAATTTCAACTTTGCAAGATCTTTTTTTTTCCTACGAGAAGTTGAAATTGACTGATTGAACCTTTTTTTTTTTTTGCACATGGCGGCGGAGGCCTAAAGTGAAAAGGTTTTTATAAAACCCAGCTGAAGGCCTAGGACTGGGGCGACGGTGCGCGTGCCCACAGAGAGGGCTCTGAGTGCCGCCTCTGGCACCCGTGCCATAGGTTCGCCACCACTGGTATAGGCAAGTCAGGCAGTAAAAGCTCTTTTAGTCAATCATTTGGAAAACAGATGTCAGATTTCTGAGCTACAGTTTTGCGCTACAAAACTAAATACAAACACTTTTATTAAGCAAAGAAATAAAATATATCCTGTAATTCAAGGATACAATCTCTGATAGGAATACCTACCATCAGTCTGATTCCTAAAGATACTTTCTTACCCTGCCATTTTTCTTCCTCCTCCCTCCATAGCATTCCCTGCAATTATCTTTCCTCCACTGTATAATTTTGTTCATCCGGATGTATTTTTTTTTTCATTTAAAAATAGAACACCATTTTTGAGCAATAACCCTTATCCTTTGTGTAGTAAGAAATGTATATCCTTTGAAGTTACTTTTTAAAATATTTTTGTTTTAGTAACTTTAAGAAACAGTGAAAAGAGTGCAAAGTAGTAGAAGAAAAGAATTAAAAAAACTTTTAAGAAAAGAATGTAAACATGCAGCCTTTTTCTGACTTTACCTCCTAGGCTTGTACAGTCAAAATTTCTAAGAGCTGTTATCCAGCTGTTTCAGAGTACTTCAAATGCCACTATATAATTGGAACGGGTGGTGAGAGATAAGGCAACTTTCAGATCAGTTCTATGGCCATTTATGAGTTCTGGACAATGGCTGTTATATTACTTACAATCAAATTCTGTGAAGCAGCATACTGTGAGACCTGACAGCCAGTAAGTAATAATTGGACAAAGCAAATACTGCAGTGACCAAAGATAAGTCAATAAGATGTTTGTTCAAAACATTGGCTTTGTCATTTGAATTTGTTCCTTCCTAAAAGAGGAAATCTTTCAGCGCTGTAAATTCTAGATATGAATCTCTACAGCATTGACAAAATAAGCATTATAAGACTTGTGTATGTGTGCAAAACATGCTTCTTTTGAAAGTATGACCCAATGGATTTACAGGTAGTCCTTGACTTACAACAGTTCATTTAGAGATGATTCAAAGTTTCAGTGGCACTGAAAAAATGACTTATAACCATTTTTCACAGTTATGAGCTTTGCAGCATCCCCGTGATCATGTGATCAAAATTCAGATGCTTGGCAACTGGTTCATATTTATGACCGTTGCTGTGTCCCAAGATCATGTGATCACTTTTTGTGACCTGACAAGCAAAGACAATGGGGAAGTCAAATTCACTTAACAACTGTGTTACTAACTTATCCACTGCAGCGATTCACTTAACAACTGAGGCAAGAAAGGTTGTACAACAGGGAAAACGCACTTAACATGTCTCACTTAACAACAGAAATTTTTGGGCTCAGTTCTGGTTGTAAGTCGAGAC